ATTTATGTACACAGGTCACTAGAAGAGTACTTACTATAGCTAGAGTACTGCTAACTGCAACAAGTGATGCGGTTATTTCATCTTTTCTTCATGCTCGAGATTATGATTGTTATTTACCATGGTAAAATATTAATCACTATATAATACCTAATTAAAATACCAATAGCAATTACAAAACATATACATATATACAAATTAGTCACATGAGTGCAAAGTTACAACCTCCCAAGTTAAAGTTTCCCAAACTAGCATTGGAATCTACAACTCAAACCTAGTATCTATTCAATTCTCAACCCCAGATGAGTGTGAGCATTAAATCAATCTCACATCCATTATAAAAAAACTGATGAGAGTTAGAATACACAGATGAAAGCACAATATCCATGAGTTCTCAATAAGACCATCTTTTATTTTATTTACTTAAATAAAAGAAACCAATAGAAGAGAAATATAAATGTATTAAAAAAAAATTACAATAGCAAGTTAAGTTAGCAAAACATAATTTACAGCAACAATTTATAATAGTAAGTTAAGTAGCAAAAACAATTTACAACGTCAAGTCAATACTCATCATGAATTTGAATAAGTTAGAAAAAATAAGAGAGAGAGAGAGTTAATGTTTCAAAGCCCCAAAAAATTATCAAACTAAACAACTACATAGGAAAATTATACAAAAAACTATCAATTTAAACCCAATATACATCACTAAATTCATGAGTTCTTAATAAGACTAACTTATATTAATTAACTTGAATAAAAGAAATCAATACTCATCAAGAAGAGAAATATAAATACATTATAAAACAATTTACAACAACAAGTTAAGTTAGCCGATAATATTTTACAGCAACAATTTACAACATCAATATAAGCTAGTAAAAACAAGTTACAACAAGAAATCATTACTCATCATGAATTAAAAAACGTTAGCAAAAACCCAAAGAGAGAAAGAGAGAGAGAGAGGTAGTTAATGTTTAAAACCCCCAAAGAACTATCAATCAAACTTTACATAAAACTTTACAGAAAATTATCAAGAAGAGAATATAAATACATTCTAAAACAATTTACAACAACAAGTTAAGTTAGCCATGAATATTTTACAGCAACAATTTACAACATCAATTTAAGCTAGTAAGAACAATTTACAATAAGAAGTCAATACTCATCATGAATTCAAAAACGTTATCAAAAACCCAGAGAGAGAGTTAATGTTTAAAACCCCTAAAGAACTATCAATCTAAATAGCTGCATAGGAAAGCTTTACAGAAAGCTATCGATCTAAACCCAATATACATCATAAAATCCATGAGTTCTCAATAAGATACAATTTATATTTAATTTACCTGAATAAAATAAATCAATACTCATCAAGAAGATAAATATAAATACATTCTAAAACAATTTACAACAGCAAGCCAGATTGGATGTACCCAAAATTGGAATATTTTTTGTCTGTAATGCAAAAATCTTGTGAAGTGGACTTTTAATCATTAAGACAACCACAAGATTTTGCTAGATTTTTAGGTTGAAATAAAAAAATAATCATATGTCAAGGCAAAAATTACCATCCAAAATAATGCAAGTTAGACTTGAATTTTTTTCGAATGAAAGTGCAATCATCTCTCTTTCTTCCTCTCTCTCTCTCTCTCAGAACATCGAAGAAGCCATGTGCTTCTCTCTCTCATACCATGGAAGGGGCTTTGTGCTTCTCTCTCATCTCTCTTCCACCAGTGCAGTAAGTTTGGTCCATCTCTCTCTCTCTCTCCCTCCTATCTTATCTGGTTGTTTTATCACTAAACTAAATGGGAGATGATCTATACGTTATAATTTCTCGCTAGATTCTCTAGTTTTTCTAGCATGGAAACTGCAGGATAATGCTCTACAATAGTGACCCCTGTAAATATTTATTTGTTACAATGCTGGAATCAAATTCTTTTACGACAAGACCCACCGGATTTTGGCCATCCCTGAGTCCTCAACATGCCATTCGTGACATAAAACAATGAGCAATCTCATCCTTAAATAAGCTTTCAGATCGAGAAACCTTTCAAATAGTAGCTTCAGGTCTAGACTCCATGCCACCAATGAATGCCCCACACTCTGTGCTTCCCAGAGTGGAAAGATGAGAATATGTTTCGATGAAGATGAATATGATACATAAAACGGTGACTTCTTGAATAAACATGGGAAGAAAATCCAATACTCTAAAAAATTCAACAATGGTAACTCCTTGAATAAACATGGTAATTCCTTGCTTAAAGCAGGCACACAGACCAACGAATATTTGTAAAAAATATTACAACCATCATCCAAACTAATTCTATGAGCAATCTAACATCTCTGTAGAAACCTCCAAATCACTCATTTGACAAAAATATATCATGCTCTTTGTCAACTAACGCATCGATCACTAGCAGTAACCCAAAATAACAAAAAATGACAAAACGAGGTTTAAGTGCTAAAAAAACAAATTTTTGGAGAGCTTACTAGTTTAGCGTTAAAGGAAGGATATATTTGGAGCCTTTGATCCACCCCAAGAAGATGCCCCATGCTCCTGCTTCTTTATCTCTTTTTTTGTTTAGCGGTGGGAGAGGAAATGTTGAGATGAGAGAGAGAGAGAGAGAGAGAGAGGAGGGGGGGGGGGGTAGGTGTAGAGTACTTATAATAAGTGGTAGAGAGGAGGAGACGTAGTGTAGTTGGTTTGGAGGCGTAGTTAGAACTAATACTAACTTCCCTCTACAATGCGTGGTACTTACGTAAACCGTTAGAAACAAGAAAGGAGGAAGTAAGTAGGTACGTTAGTTTGTAATCTTATTTCCTATTTT